CTGATTGTACTTGAGCCAATAATTAGGAAACAGCTTTTTGTTGGGTTCAGTCTGAGTCCATGATCATTTGACCAGTCAACTATTCTGTCGAGATCTTCATTTATTAGGTATAATGTTTCACTAGCCTCTACTGGATCGAAAGTTTTTAGCACTTGTGTGTCATCTGCATATAGGTGTAATTTGCAATGGTTCACTACCGAGGTAATGTTGGCTGTGTATATGCAAAACAGTATAGGCCCTAGTATGCTACCTTGTGGTACACCTAGATTGATAAATGCTGGGTCAGATCTAATATCATCCACCTCAACAATCTGCTTTCTGTTTTTCAAGTAACTTGTGAACCATAGACACTCAGATTCCCCAAATCCATAATAGTGTAGTTTGGAAATCATCAAGTCTTGGTCTAGGAGATCAAATGCTTTGCTATAATCTAGTAATACTAAACATGACGACTGTGATTTGTCAATTCCTTTTGCTATGTCTGATGTTACTTTTGATAGTGCTGTTGAGGTGCTGAAACCAGATCTAAATCCAGATTGTATAGTTGGTAGTATCTCATTAATGTTAAGATATTCATTAATCATGTTTAAAACTATCTTTTCACACATTTTTGATAGTATTGGTAATATGTTGATTGGCCTAAGTTCATCATAAGTATATGGATTATTTATTTTTGGGATAGGCTTGATAATAGCTGTCTTCCATATGTGTGGAAATGTACCTGTTACAAGTGACTCATTTATTAGATCTTTCAATATTGATATTACATACGGCAAACTCCATTCTAACATATTGTAGTCAATATTATCAATTCCTTTACATTTTGATCTAATACTCTTGAAGGAAGCGAGTATGTTCTCTTCTGTAACCTCTTTAAATTGAAACCTATTTTCATTGTAAGTATTGTTATTATAAAAGTCATAAACATTGTTGCTTATAGGGTGGGTCAAATGAGTCAAATTCGAGAATTTATTATTGATTTCATCTACATTTTTTAAATGAGGAGGTATATCATCATACGATTTGGTATTTATTCCCCAATCCTTGAACTTTGTCCAAAGTTTCTTAGCATTATTATTTATTTTATTGATTTCGAGGTTGAAATAAACTTTCTTTTCTTGACTGATAGCAAATGAAAGGTAGTTCTTTAGATCTAGATATAACTGCTTGCTTTCTGAGCTCCTCGTATTTTTGAATTTAATGAATGATTTATCGTTCAATTTGATTATTTCCTTTATAGTGTCTGTTATGTATGGCTTGTAAGGACGTTTGATAACAATCTCTTTGATCGGAGCATAAAAATTGAATACATCCATCAGTACTACATTCAGCATTTCCACTTTGTCATTTAGATTTGAATTGTCTGCCAGCATTTCCCAGTTTATGAGTTGCATTTCCTGATTGAATTGTATGACATCAAAATTTGTGTAGTCTCTATACTGTATTTTATGAGGAATTTGCTTAGGTGCCTCTATGTTTATTTTGCAAAAAGTGAGCCTATGATCAGTTGCATTATACATCTCTATAGTTTCATTTTCGACTAAATTCAATTCCTGATCCATACATATTATATCTAGTAAAGTACAACTTGATCTAGATATCCGTGTAGGATCTTCAACTATTTGTTTCAAGTTGAATGAATCAAGTATATTAACGAAAAATCTTTTATCAATGCCCTGACTACCAAAATCAATATTTAGGTCCCCTACTATCACTGTATGATCATATAGTACAGAATTGATTGCAAGCTGGTTCTCAATACATTTCAAGTCCTTGTATGGAACTGAAGGAGGGCGATAAATAACACCAAACAGTATCTTACAGTGTTTATAACTTACAGCCATCCATAATTGCTCCACCCCGATCACTGTTGCATCCTCCACATGGTCTATAACTCTATAACTCAGCTTTGTAGAAACAAATACTCCAACTCCCCCTCCTCTTCTTTCTCGGTCCTTTCTAATCAGGTTATAGCCCTTTATTTTCAGAGTGTTACGTTCAAAATTATTCATACATTTTGAAGAAAGTCAATTTTTATTTTTTAAATCTCGGAATGAGATAAGTGGGTTCAAATCGGCTCATTTAAACCTCAGGAATATGTTCTGAGATTTTGTAGAGACCTTTTAGGGACACCCTGTACTTACAAGAACATGAAAAAGAGTCATTCCGGTCCTGATACTAATGTAATCCTCAGTATTTTTAGGTGACTAGAATAATTCATAGAATATTGTTACGAAATCATCAAAGAGAATAACAACAAGTATGTCTTGGTTTCGTGAATATTCATCATATTTCCATTTTTGATGATATTTTAGCCGACAATGAAAAAAATTGAAATAATTCATTTCGGAATTGATGGAATTGTGCCAGAAACTTTCTCAACATGTTCATATAGTATTTTTAACGTAGACTCATAATATGACCTAAGATTTTTTATCATTATTATACGGAGTGAGTTATTCTCACAATAACTCAACATAGGAAAAAGTGATATTCCGGCCCTGCTATTGATTTCGTTCAGAAGGCTACTTGTTGAAGCATTTGAGTTTAATTCATGTACCAAATTAAAATCCAATCGTGTAATCCCTGTATTTATTATGGTAGATTGAATTATTGTCAAAATCCACAAATCACTCTGTTTGTTAGTATAACCAGAGATTATGGGAGTGTATAATCATATTGGCAGGCCCTATAACCTCATAAGTTTTCATCCCTGGACACCGTGTATATACAGTGTGTCTCACTTCTATTGGGAATAGCTCCGTTTCTAACGAAATCGTTGGTGTTAGGACCCTGCTGACATTTGCTAGAGCGAAAGATATACCAAAAATGCACTCTATGACCAAGTGGGGCAATCTTCAGTGAAATACACTGCTCGCTAACAGCCAAGGAACCACCCCAACTTTTGGAAAATATTATAAGGAGTCAAAATAGGAAGGACGCCCAATTTACTAGCTATTGATATATTTCCTGAAAACTTTTCAGTTCTGAAAAATTCATTTTTGTCTCACTTTTCATGAAAACACCCCCGTATCTAACAAAATCGTTGGGTTAGAATCTTCAAATTTGCTAGAGCGAAAGATATACCAAAAATGTCCTCAAATAAATTTTTCAGGAAAAATATTAATAGTTAGTGAATCAGTCCCTCTGTTTTCGAATCCGAAATGATTTTGAACCTGTCTTGGCTCTTGATAGAATTTTCCGGACTTTTATGTGTAGTTTCACAGCTGTTGACTAGCAGTGTATATTACTGAAAATAACCCCACAAGATCCTAACCCAACGATTTCGTTAGATATACGGGGGTGCTTTCATGAAAAGTGAGGAAAAATGTCAATGATGAGTGAATTGGGCGTCCTGATTCCGAATCCGAAGTGATTTCCATTCTATTTTGACTCCTGATATAATTTTCCGGAAATTGCGGTGGTTCCATGGCTGTAGGCAAGCAGTGTATATCACTGGAGATGGCCCTACTTGGTCATAGAGTGCATTTTTGGTATATACCTCGTTCCAGCAATTTTCAGGATCCTCACTCAACGATCACATAAGATGCAGGGGAGTTTTTATATAAATAGATATACATTGAGAATTCGCATTCTCCATTTGATGGAAATATAAATTCTTTCTCGGTATATTCAACAGAAAACAACTACTTTCCTAGCTATATGCCACGACTAACATTGAATTATATCTATTGAACACACACGATAAGAATTTGAGAATAAAATATTCTGAAGTTGTTAATTTGCATTCTCCTTCAGATAATAATAATATGTATTCACATGATATCATTTTGAATATTCAACAAGCAAAAACTACTTTCCAAGCTATTTGCCACGTCGAAGATTACGTAATATCTGTTGGACATCCAAAAGGAGAACATGAAAATAAAAATCCTCTGAATGATAATGATATACAGATTTAACTCACCAATATCACCCAATATATTCAGTATTAAAATGAAAATTGAAATGTATTGGGGAAGTATACTTTTATAAACTCCGATCATAATGAGCTTGAAACTTCAAATTATTATCGTGTGTGTTCAATAAAGAACCAATAGACAGGTCGTACGTTTAATCAGCGCATTCATGAACATTAGATGAATTTTCAGAAAAAGAAAACAAATTCAACATACGCCTACCATATATTAGAAGAAAACCATAGTTTTGATGATAATTTCGAAATTATACACATAGAAAATAAAGGGATCAAACCTAAGCATTTTGAATCATTACAAATCAACAAACTCAAAAATTCTTACATTCTACTTAACGATCAATTGAACCTCAATAGTTAACTACTGATGTTCAATTTATTTCCTTAGTAGGTAATAATATGTATTCGCTATCAACCCTTTCGAATTAATCCGGTACACCGTATTTATAATGTAGATATTGTGCCTATTTGCTCATCCTCCAGGTTAGGAAAGTAGAATATATGAAAGTTAGGCAAGCCAAGGTTAGTTTAGTTCATTGTACCAGTAATTTCACCTGATGAAGCTACTGTGTTAGCGAAACATGTCGTGTGATTAAGAATTTTGTGTCAATCTTATCGTTTTTGAAGTTTTTACATTCGATATCATGTATATATATTATACATATTATTAGGAAGGAGAATGCAAATTCACTATTCTAGCAGATTTTGTTTTCAAATTCTTATCGTGTGTGTTCAATAGATGTAATTCAATGTTCGTCGTGGCATATAGCCAGGAAAGTAATTGTTTTTCATTGAATAAACCGAGAAAGAATTAATATTTTCCTCACATGGAGAATGCGAATTTTCTTGTGTTCATAAATATATCTGAGAATATTCCTTCACCCAATCAGGGGGTTCAAACTTGAACGATGGAAATTTGTTATTATAATAGACATCAATCGCAGATTCTTGATTAGGTTTTCTCATTTCAGAATTTCTTTCCACGTCCTGTATAATGAATGTCAATTCGTCATACATGCAAAAAGAATATATACTATATTTTCCAATGTTTATTGGTACTCACTTTATTGTTGCCTGGAATATCCAAACTGGTGATATTCCAAGTGTTGCACAACCAGCGTTTGAGTGGACTTTTGATTTGACATTTGCTGAAACAATTGAAGCACCGATTCGAAAGCATGTTTTCAACTCCACACGGAGAACGATCGCTCCTGCAAGCTTATGTAATGCTCTATTACTCCACTCTCGGTGGTTTCCTGCTGTTAGCTGTTAGACTACAAGACTGTGATTCGGATCGGAAATAGACATGCGCGAGCCGGTGTCTCCATAGCGATATTGCCATGTTTCTTGATATTGATATTTCCAAGCTCCCTATCCTATACCATGTTTCCCGCGCATTTGGACGAACTAAAAAATTTCGACTCCAGGCGCCATTCTACAGCAATGAGCGTGTACACCTGAGTAGAACTTTTAACTCAAACCATGTTTATAATGATCCTTTTATACATAAATAATGATTGACGACATAATTCGATCGAAAAATTAACTGGAATGTTTCATTTTTGGACATAAATAATAGTACCTTCTGAAAACGGACCCTCTTATGACGTAGAAACCTCATCTAGCCACAGTTAAAAGAAAATACCAAAAGCCCGACGGAGACTGAGGCAACTGATATATTAATCCTTTCAACTGTGATCTCGCGCTAATTCACTCTGTCAGAAATCATGTATCATTCATCTCTGTCTGGATTAGTCTTGTTCAGTATTAGGGTTTTGACGTCACATCATCGCCTCGTTTTCAGAGGTCCGTAAAATCGGGGATTTCAACGATTTTTCATAAAACGAAGGGAGCTCACAGCAAGAAACGGTTTGCGGTGGTGAGCTAGTTTGGGTGAATTCTATCGAATTATGAAATAAAAATTTGTTGTGATATAAGCCCAATGCTGCTCGTATTTTTATATCACTTGGTGCGCACAAAACGTAATCCCTATAATGTTCGAAGAACATCGTACGTACCCAGGGAGGATAGGGAGAAGAAGTAGGTGTTGGAATTTATTTCGAACTTTTGAAGATTATAAGTTTCTGGAAATTTTCCCTCAGGCAATGAATTCCAGAGCTTTGCCGTTCTAAAGAGAAACGAGTTTTGATATAGACGGACATATTTCGAGGTTGACAACGAAAGGATATGCTGACTGCGCTTGTCGAGTTCGTCTGACTGGTGATGCTATAGTCGTGGAAGGATAGAGATTTCTGGAGAACATTTCCCGTGGAAGTATCTTAAAAAAAGTGAAAGGTATTTTAAGTCTTCAATCACATTCCCTAGCAGCGGAATAGAAACGGATTGTCTATAAAATTCAAGAGGATTGTTAGATGGATAATTATCACGGTGACGTTGACGGGCTGTTTTCCGAGGAATTCTAATTTCAATGTCTAGTTCTTCAGCGATTTCAGATATTTCTTGGTATAATGCATTCAATTGTTTTTCTGAGTCTGAACGCTTGGCATCTAACAGTTTAAGGATATCTTGGTAATTTTCTAGAGAAACTTTAAGGTCTATATTTTGAAACTGAAAAAATCTACTCAATTGTAAAGTATTTGAAAGGATATCACTGAGAGAAACGATTGCCGATTGACAAGTGGTACGCAACATAGTTAATCCCCAGTGATTCAAAAAATTTTTGGATTGAAGCCATTTACTCCAATGACAGAAAATGCGCAGGCAATTTTACAAATTCAAAAATTACCAGACCCACCATTCTTTTGTTGATTGAACTATTTCAACTTTTCAAAACTCAAGATTTTTTTCGGAATATATTTCGAAACACGATTTTTAAGCTAGTGACGAATAACTTTTGAAGCAGGTTCCTTTTCAGGAAGGATCTCACTAATGATCAGAAAATTCTTTGCAGATAACGATTGGGGCGTGAAAAATTTGGTAGAACAGGTAGGAATCAGAGCGGGGGGCTAAGAGAGATCATTGCTGCACTTGAGAGCTTACTGCGTCTGCACGCGCTCAGTAGTTCTTGGAGAACAATAGGCCGGGAAAATCCACATATTTTTATTGCTTTCTTATTGGCAAATGACTTGCCTGGTTGGTAGACTCTGGCGCGACAGACAAATATTCCAGTGTTTATCTAGCCTATAGTTTATTTAAAATATCAGAATGGAAGACACAACATTTTTTCTTCAGTCGGCTGGGTCCGCCCTTATGCCAAACACGTTCGAATGCTTTCGATATGTCTAATGCCACAGCTAGAGCTTCCCGAGATTTTACTAATGAAGCTTCGTGACGTAGGCAAGTAGATTTCTAGTTGATTCTCGGTGGCCAAAGCCATATTGTCTATCATTGATGATTCCTGAGCTATCCAGATATTTGATTAGCTCAATGTTGAAAGCTATCCCCATCACTTTGGAATTTACTAATAACAGAGCAATATGTCCTGTAGTTGTTGGGCAAGTTTTCATTCCCTTTTTTTGGGGATCTTCCCGCATAATGGAAAAATACCCGCTTTGTATGAGATGGTAAATAACTTGCAGAGAATAGGTGTCAGTTCTGGTGCACATTTTTTGAAGATAATGGGTGGGATTCCATTAGGACCGTTGGCCTTATTCGTTTAGAGATCAAGCAAGATGCGTCTGATAGTGCGTTGACAGAAGACGATTTCGGGCATTCGACTTTCAATGGGTGGAATATGGGGCGGCACGTTGCCTTGGGAATCTAAAGCAGAGTTTGCTGCAAAAATATTTGTTTCCTCCTGCGATGTTGTTGCTATCCTCACCATGTTTTGTACTCCAAAAAAATTTCATTCCGAGCTAGGAGCTACTTTACACCTGATTAGCTTCTCACTATCTGCAAAGCATAGATTCGGCCCGTCTCAGAATGCTGTTTTCACAAAGCACCCAAACATACGCTGACACTCTTTCACAGACAAAAATAATCACTGAACCTTAGTGAACAAGGAAACAAGCTGATAAACACAAAATTATTTAGGTTCTTGAAAAATTTACACTAACCACCATTAAATTCTATACAAAAAGAAGCTCAGAGGAGACAGAAGGACGATCTAGCCTTCAGAGCCAAAGTGCAAAGGTGTAGGAGTAGTATAGCATCTTCAACATTCATACCTTGCTCCAGGCTCCTATTTGTATCAATATTGAGGTACGCTTCGTGAATCGATCATCAGCTGGTCTAGTGCAACTGATGAGGCTTGGCTAGCCGAAACCGATTATTATCTTGGTCTTGAGATTGTAGGTTTATCATTTCGAGACAAACTACCATCACAAAGAGATAGAAACTCAAAGTCATTACCACAATGGTTCATAAAATGAACGAAAATGGTAGATAACGAGAGAAAAACAACTACTTTCCTGACTATATGCCACGCAGAACATTGAATTACATCCTCCCGAAATCTATGCAATAAGTGTAATGAGTATTTGGCTTTTTTCTAGTTGGGAGTTATAGTATATCCAATATCAATAATTGCAGAATATCCCGCACTGTGCGGCGTCGGAGTGTTTGAAGTTTCCTTTGAAGTAACTCCAGGTGCAGCACAAGATTCTGCAATTGTTTTTGGATGAACTATACCAAGCACCATCATACGGCCTACTACCTAAGCTATGCCTTCGTTTGTCGAGTTTTCTTCCCGGCAGATCGCTCTATGTGGTGGTGGACAAAGTATCGTCTAATAACATTGCCATCCACAGTTTCGCAGTTGAAAGTACTATCCATACAGCGTTTCCTTCCAGTTTCCCTCCCAGAAAACTAAGAACTCACGGCGAAGGCAGGTCAACGCTGTCAATGGAGATACGAACTAGTTCTATTCAACGCCAACAAAACTCAAGTCTGTGTTTAATCTAGGAAGGCAAAATCAGTATCCTAGATAATATGTTATGATACAAATATTCTAGGGATGTTATATGAGAATATTCCTAGAATATTGAAGGAGAAGAAGGAAAATTGAAAAAAGCTTGCACCGGTGGAGATGCGAACCTACTATCTTGTGATTGAATTTTTACGAATCTGAAACCTCAACAACTTCGCCAGGAACCTCATTGATAAATAAAATGAATAGCAAGATGACAACATTGAATCAGTGATATAATCAGCATTGAGGTTAGAGAATAATAGGTTGTGCAGGGTGAACATGAATATTGATACAAGAATAGGAACATCAATATCATTTATTTCGATACGATTCTGAATATTCCCAGAATAATCGAAACATTCAATAAAAATATTCTATAAGAATATTCTAAAATTAGTATAGAACATTGTCAGAATATTCATAGAATATTTGTAATTTGGGATGTCTGATAGGTATATCAAAATGTGTGGTATATCACCATTCCCATAAGATCCACTATATATATGCTCGGTATTTCTATCAGCAATAGGTACTCTTGAGAGAAAATTATGTCAGATTCATTGCGAAAACTGCTTTCACAAAAACTCGAATTTACACCTCAACAACAACAAGCACAGTTACGGTTCGTTTAGAATACTGTTCCCACATATGAGGTTCAGTACCCAAACCCACGCTGATACTCTAATCAATGAAACAAAGTAAAATAATAATTGATTACGGAATGACTGAAATTGTGCCAGAAACTTTCTCAACAACTTCCTGAAGTATTTCATATACCAAATTTGAACCCAATCGGGAAATCCCTGTTTTCAATATGGCAGCCGTATTGGACTTTTGTTCATGGCATTTTGCAATCATATTGACAGTCTCTATATTACCCCATAAGTTTTGTCGGATTCATCTCTGGACACTCTTTATATGCCGAACAATTCTTCACCAGAACTCGTTTTTCTATAGACCTGCAAAACTTGACGTGAATTTTATTTTCCTTTATCATCGGAGAATCATGAAATTTGGAAACGCTGTTGACAAAAAACATGTTCCGTCCTATTTATAGCTTATTAGAATAGTCTTCCTAATTACCGTGGATTATAAATTCCAAATAAACATGACAGTGAGTTTCTTAAAATAAAATTCACGAATAATATTAAAGATAAGATAAGAATTCATTGGTCTATTTATGTTACTCTACAATATAATGTATGTATAATGCCATCCCATTTTGGGGAGACACCCATGCCCAGGTATCTCGGTTGTTGTTGAAGATAGAACCTGGTTTTCGCAGTCCTGTACCACTTTTTTGTGAAACT